ACCAAAGAGGAAGAAGTTCATTATGTTTAAAAGATATACTATCCGACCTTTAAAAAATAGGGTTAGCGTGTTTTGAAAGTTTTGCCTACACATCCATTGCCCAGCATACAAAAAACCCCAACCAAATAAAAACTTCTCTACAGGCAGTTTACAAAGATGGGGCTATAGGCCTCTTAATAGGCTCATCGCTTGTAGAATGCACCCTCCTGAGTTATGCCAAATTTCAAAGCAATCTGACTAAGCATGTTGATTTTAGAGCACTTAGAAAGGTGGACCTTCAAACAAATGTCTTGCCCAAACCTATAATACAAGGGATCTTGTGGCTGAGGAGCAGCTGTCCAACCCTCCAAATAACAAGAGGGAAGCTTCTGATACGGTCTCCCACAGTATTCTTGCCAGCAAGTTAAAGAAGTATGGGCTAGATGAATGGACTATAAGGTGGATAGAAAACTGGCTAGATCGTCGGGCTCAACGGGTAGTGATCAATGGCTCCATGTCTAGTTGGCAGCTGGTATCAAGCGGAGTGCCCCAAGGGTCGGTTCTGGGGCCAGTTTTGTTCAATATCTTCATTAATGATCTGGAGGATGGCATGGATTGCACCATCAGCAAGTTTGCTGATGATACTAAACTCGGAGGAGAGGTAGATATGCTGGAGGGTAGGGATAGGATACAGAGGGACCTAGACAAATTAGAGGATTGGGCCAAAAGAAATCTGATGAGGTTCAACAAGGACAAGTGCAGAGTCCTGCACTTAGGACGGAAGAATCCCATGCACTGCTAGAGACTAGGGACCAAGTGGCTAAGCAGCAATTCTGCAGAAAAGGACCTAGGGGTCACAGTGGACGAGAAGCTGGATATGAGTCAACAGTGTGCCCTTGTTGCCAAGAAGGCTAATGGCATTTTGGGCTGTATAAGTAGGAGCATTGCCAGCAGATCGAGGGATGTGATCATTCCCTTCTATTCCGCATTGGTGAGGCCTCATCTGGAGTACTGTGTCTAGTTTTGGGCCCCACACTACAAGAAGGATGTGGAAAAATTGGAAAGAGTCCAGCGGAGGGCAACAAAAATGATTAGGAGGCTGGAGCACATGACCTATGAGGAGAGGCTGAGGGAATGAGAATTACTTAGTCTGCAGAGGAGAAGAATGAGGGGGGATTTGATAGCTGCTTTCAACTACCTGAAGGGGGGTTCCAAAGAGGATGGATCTAGACTGTTCTCAGTGGTAGCAGATGACAGAACAAGGAGCAATGGTCTCAAGTTGCAGTGGGGGAGGTTTAGGTTGGATATCAGGAAAAACGTTTTCACTAGGAGGGTGGTGAAGCACTGGAATGGGTTACCTAGGGAGGTGGTGGAATCTCCTTCCTTAGAGGTTTTTAAGGTCAGGCTTGACAAAGCACTGGCTGGGATGATTTAGTTGGGGATTGGTCCTGCTTTGAGCAGGGGTTGGACTAGATACCTCCTGAGGTCCCTTCCAACCCTGATATTCTAGGATTCAATTCTATGATTCTATGAAGGCAGGGTCTCAGTGGGATTCCAGGGACCTGGGTTCTACTCCTGCCTCAGCTACTGGCTTGGAGAGTTACTGTAGCCAAGTCACTTAATTCTTTGTGCCTCAGTTTCTCCTCCCCTTCTGCAAATTACTCTGTACAGTACAGCTTTGTTGTTATTTAAACAGCACAAAAGTGTACAAGACACTTCACAGAAGGAATGTAGAGAAGGCTCCTGCCCTGAAGAGTTTACAGTCTAATTTTGGATGTGATGCAGTGACTCCGAATAACAAACAATGGGGTGGAGGATGCCCTTCCAACAAGTGCGGCAACCGATGGCAGCAGAGCTATGATACTGGGTTGCTATTTATATGCTTCGAAAAACCAGACTTCAACAAACTCCGAGAACTGGTGGGTAAGTTATCCGGGGAAGAAAATCAAAGGGAAAGAGGAGTTCAGGACAGCTGGCAGATCCTCAAGGAGACAATATTAAAGGCACAACTGCAAACTATTCTGATGCAAAGGGAAGATAGGAAGAATAGTAAAAGTAAGGAGCCCTTTAAGGACCTAAAAATCAAAAAAGAATCCTACAAAAAGTGGAAACATGGTTAAATTGATAAGAGTACACTGAAGAGTACAAAACAGCACAAGTCTGTAGGGACAAAATCAGAAAGGCTAAAGGCACAAAATGAGTTACACCTGGCAAGGGACATAAAAGGCAATCAAAAATGGTTCTTTAAATACATTAGGAGCAAGAGAAAGGAAGGAAAGTGTAGGTTCTCTACTTAGTGGGAAAGGAGAGCTAATAAATAACTGATGAAATCAAGAAAACTGAGGCGCTTAATGCCTACTGTGCTTCAGTCGTCACTAAAAAGATTAATGATGACCAGATTTAAACAATTTAAAGCTAATGTTAAAAAAAAGTATATAATACATAGGTTGGGAAAAGAGTGTCTGTACAGCTGGGTATAGGGCTTAGATCATCCACAAATACAAAGTTTGTTTTTAAAAGACGTGATACATAGAGTACATAATCAGCAATAACCCAATTTATGTGAATAGATTCAGCAATACAGTTTAGATATCAGAAGCTGAATACTCGGGTACATCACTCATGAAAAGTTGTACAGGGATTCGGTTGTGGAAAGCGAAATATATCAATGAGTGGAGATTGTCCCTCAGTAAACACAATTAATATTAACAACCAGGAGGAAGGAATACAAGCCAAAATAGGGAAAGAAAGGTTAAAGAATATTTAGATAAGTTAGATGTATTCAAATCAGCAGGGCCTGATGAAGTTCATCCTAGGGTACTTAAGGAAGTAGCAGAAGCCATCTTGGAACTGTTAGCAATTACCTTTGAGAACTGGAGGATGGGAAAAGATCCAGAAAACTGGAGAAGGGCAGACATAGTATCTCTCTTTACAAAGGGGAACAAGGAGGACCCAGGGAATTATAGACCAGTCAGCCAAACTTCAGTACCTGGAAAGATACTTGAGCAAATGGTTAAACAATGAATTTAGAAGCATCCAGAGGACAATAGGGTTATAAGGAATAGTTAGCATGGCTTTGTCACGAACAAATCATGCCAAACCAGCTTAATTTCCTTCTTTGACAGGGTTACTGATCTAGTGGATGGGGAGAAGCAGTGGATGTGATATACCTTGATTTCAGGAAGGCTTTTGACACAGTCCCACATGACATTCTCATAAGCAAACTAGGGAAATGTGGTCTAGAATGATGAAATGACTATAAGGGGGGTGCCCAACTGGTTGAAATACTGTACTCAAAGAGTAGTTACCAATGGTTTTCTGTCATAGTGGGAGGGTGTATCTAATGGGGTCCCACAGGACTCAAGCCTGGGTCCAGTACTATTCAATATTTTCATTACTTGGATAAGAGAGTGGAGAGTATGCTTATAAAATCTGAGCTGACACTGAGCTGGGAAAGGTTGCAAACACCTTGGAGGACAGGTTTAAAATTCAAAATGACCTTGACAAATTGGAGAACTGGTCTGAATTCAACAAGATGAAATTCAATAAAGACAAGTGTAAAGTTCTACACTTTGGAAGGAGAAATAAAATGCACAACCACATAATGGGGAATAACTGGCTGGGCGGTAGTGCTGCTGAAAAAGTTCTGGGGGTTATGGTGGATCACAAACTGAATATGGCTCGTCAATGTGATGCAGCTGCAAAAAAGGCTAATATGATTCTGGAGTGTATTAACAGGAGTGTCATATATCAGACACGGGAGGTAATTGTCCTGCTCTACTCGGCACAGGGGAGGCCCCAGCTGGAGTACTGTGTCCAATTCTGGGTGCCACAATTTAGGAAAGAGGTGGACAAATTGGAAAGAGTCCAGAGGAGAGCAACAAAAATGATAAAAGGTTTAGAAAACCTGACCTATGTGGAAAGGGCATGTTTAGTCTTGAGAAAAGAAGACCGAGGGCAGACCTGGGAACAGTCTACGTTAAGGGCTGTTAGATAAGAGGATGGGGATCAATTGTTCTCTCTGTCCACTGAAGGTAGGACAAGACATAATGGGCTTAATCTTCAGCAAGGGAGATCTAGGGTAGGTATTCAGGAAAAGCTTTCTAGGGATAAGAGTAGTTAAGCTGGGGAATAGGCTCCCAAGGGAGGTCATGGAGTCCCCATCCTTGGAAGCTTTTAAAAACAAGTTGGACAAACACCTGACAGGGATGGTCTAGGTCAGCGGTTCTCAAACTGTGGGTCAGAACCCTATTTTAATGGGTTCACCGGGGCTGGTGTTTAGACTTGCGGGGGCCCAGGCCCGATTCCTGCCGCCTGGTGACCCTCCTGGGGCCGTGTAGTAATTGTTGTCAGAAGGGGGTTGCAGTGCAATGAAGTTTGAGAATCCCTGGTCTAGGTTACTTGGTCCTGCCACAGCGCGGGGGGCTGGACTTGATGACTTCTTGGGGTTGCCTTCCAGCCCCACATTTCTAGGATGCGATGCTTGTGCTTATGAGGGGAAGCTCCCTGCAATTCCGCTGTTGCCCCCGGCCGCTCTGAGATGAGACTGGCAGGGGCACACGATCGGGGTGGGGGGATTAATTCACTGGGAAGGCCCCCGGGAAGGGGGAGCGCAGGGACAGGCGGATCCCAGCTGCGCAGCCCCCTCCTCTGCCAGCAGCAGAAAGCCCAGTCCTGTTGCCCCCCTTCCCAAAAGGGGGTGCAGGCGGGTGGGTTTCCCTGCAGAGCAGGGGGCAGGGGCTAAGGCCTGCTGGGGAGGGCTGGTAAAGGCTGGGGGCCCTGTCTGGGGCGGGGGATGAGGCGCAGGGGCAGGAGCCCGCCCAGCCACGGGGGCAGCCGCTGGGCCCGGCTAGGGGAGGCGGGGGGGTGGGGCGGCCTGGCGGGGGCCCGCTGAGGGGAGCGGGGGGATCGCGGGGCCGCAGCGCCCAGGGGAGCGAGGCTGGGGAGACCCTCCCCCGGCTCTGCGATCCCCCCGCCGGCAGGGGCCGCTGCCGCCCCGCTCCTCCCCGCCGCTCCCGGGCCCCGGCAGCCAGGCCGCGGCTCCCTCCCTCCCGGCTGCGCTCGCTCTGCTCCGCCCGGCAGCGGGGCCGGCCCGTGGCGAGGCGAGGCGAGGCGGCGCCGGGACTCTGCCCAGCCCGGAGCGGGAGCGGAGCTCGGGTTCGGGTCCGGATCCCGCCGCCCGGCCAGCAGCGCTCCCCGGGCCGCCCCCGGGCCGCGGTGAGGGGCGAGCTCCGGGCCGGGACAAAGGGCCATGGCCGAGCGGGCCGCTGCCCAGGTAAGGGCCGGGGCGGGGGCAGGAAACCCCCTGGCTGAGCCCCGGGGCG